GCCGGTTAATACACCTCCTCGCTGCTTTATCCCAGATGCGTTAAATGGGTCAAGCCTCAAAAAGCCAAAGTATTGAGAAATTTTCCGGCCGAACTTCTTTCTTTATTTAAACAGATATCTAGAATGCTTCAATAAAGTTTTATTTTCGCACAGTTTGAAATCATGAGCCGGGGATTACTGTGAAGAAGGCCAAATTTCACCCAAATGCGCAAGTTCGACAATTCACCGCTGTGTTAAGTCAATGACAATTGAAACTTCATGTACTTTTCAAACACTTTAATTCTTTACTTCTTGAAGCATTTTATCGTTTTATTCCTTTGATTTACGGGACTCGTCGCGAGGAATTTTACGCCCATATTCACCAATACCTCCCAGAGCAAGACATCCAACGTAACGCCTATTGTCCTCGACATAAGTGATACATAAAAACCCTTTCTCACAATCCGCGAAGTCACTTTCTCGGCTGTTGCAGACTAAAAAGAAAGGGAAAATAAAAGAGGCATTAGATGTAATTTAATAAGATTGCCGGGGATGGAAGTACAAAAAACGATTGGATTTATCTAGGCAGTCTTTTGGTCGTGTTATGTAACAGAATAACATCGTCTACGATACCTCGTCTTTCCCCTTCATCTCTAAAAATCTTTTCACCTTAATAGAAAAATAGGAAATAATTTAAAATTTAACATATTTATAACCATTGATATATTTTTTGGGAGCGAGCCGTCTTTTTCTGGTTTTTGGAAAAACCGGATCAGTTAGGTACCGGTCGCTCTTTTTAACATCACAAATAATAATTGAATGATCAGTCCCTTTTTTCCCAATAGCTTTTATCAAAGGATTTTTGTAAAATGATTCATGGGTGAGCTGCAATTTAAGAAAATGAAGAAAACATTAGACTTGAACACAGGCCTCAAAACTTGCGTAATTTCAAAGGGGAATATTTCAAACTTTGAGTTGATTGGCATTATGATGGAAAAAACCGGTGCCGGACGATTACATCCTACTTGAAACTGTGTTACGGTCATAATACGACTCAAGCCATTAAAAAATATCGTTGCGCTGTTTTATCTTAAAGCTTTACAATAGAAAAATATTGACTAGTAGGAAAGAAGTGTAGAATTGAGTCTTCACACCGTGACAAAAGAGTCCTAAAAAAAGGAAAACTGAGTTAAAGGTTTTTAAAATAATCATTGTAATGGGTTTTTTATTTTAATGTTTTGTGAAGGTGTTTTTTTTTTTTTNACCTATCAGTAAAATAATAATTTTCAAAGATACCAGGAAGGGAAATGCAGTGGCCGAATTGAAATATTTAATAAATGAAATTATACGATAATCTTTTGTGTGGAAACCCAGAATTGTTATTGATATGGATAGAAAGGAAATAAATGACATACAGTTTTCGAATATAAACCAAATGGAATCATAGTGGCCGAGTTGGAGATTTTTAAGAAAGATAAGAGCATCATTAGGTTTGCAAGCCAAAACTTGTTATAGAAATTACAACCCTCACGTTTAACTTAATGGTAACTGACTCTTAACACGTGCATTGACTGAAATTGAATGGCTAAAAACTTAACCTTTCGTCTCCCAGAACAGATTAAAATGTGAGTAGCCATAACATGATTCAAAAAAACATCCAGCCGGCAAATTTACAAAGGATTGTAAAGCAACCAAGATGGGATTTCACGAATCAATATTCGGGAGCTCAAAGGGGGAATTACAATACCAGTACGAACACCTTAAAATCGCATGCGCAGCAGACCCAAGTTGCAATTGTGCTGCTTCAGGCGTACCAGGAGTACCTTGGAAAAAGGGCAGCTTTGTTAATCTCAGCTTTCGCGGAACCCTGTAATTGAACATTCTTGTGATCTTTCCAGTGTTTCTTACAAGTTTAAAGGAAAACGGGAAACGGCACCCAAAGACACATCATTATGGCATCCTTAATGAAAGTTTTCAAAGGGTCTTTAGAGGCATTTAGAAAACTTTAAGTGTTTATAACTAATTTCCCACTTAGCTTTTCAAAAGATCTCAAAGTGGTTTAAATTATGTCTTCCCACCCTTAGGCTGTAAGTTTTAACAATGCAAACCACTCTGCCATGATCACGGGACGTTGTGAAATCTTCATGGTTATTATTAAGGAATTTCAGATTAAGAGTATTCCAGATATCTGTAAGATGTAGTTTTCTGTTAATCAGAGTCTTGTATAACCCATTCGAGAAACTACTTTGAATTGTTTTTCAGATGGAGGAACTTGACGAGTTATTAACCAATTCATCAATATCGAGGCTTACTTGTCAGTGCCACACGTGTTTCCCATCGGATAAATTAAATAAAAAGCAGAGTCTTTTTTTAATGAGTTAATTTATTTCGTTTATTTTTTCATTCTTCGTTATAACTTCTCATAGAGAATATTTCGTAATCGTTTGATGGGATTTTGTGTTTGGTCTAATCTAGGGACAATATATCGCCTGAGGGTGGGGGATCGGACGATTTTAACTGTGTCGCAGCTAGAATTTTTTTTTTATGGGGATCGGTTAAAATATGTCAATTCTTCATGCCTTTCGGTTAACTCCATTAGATTCTCCTTCATGTATTTCTCTTTTGATTGGCAGCGTCAGGCTTAGGCCTCAAAGTTCAGAGACGAGGGCCGTCATATCGACACGAGGCAAATATGTTCAGGTTGCTGGTTGCACGCAGCAGGAATGAGAGCTAGGAGAAAACGTCATACCACACGAATTTAAACAGACATGGAATATATCGGCTTGTATGTAGAAGCGCCAATCGGAAGGAAGACACCTTTTTAAGGGCACGAATGTCAAGAACAGACAAATAAACCATCATTAGGTGTTTGGTAGGATACAGAGGTTAATGCCTTCATCAGATATATATCTTTTAAAAGGTT